CCCCCCCCCCCCCCCCCCCCCTTTCTACCTCGCACCAGAACAGTAAGCGCCGCCAACGCCGGCGTCAGGACCCCCCCTTGCTTCCCTGCTCGCTCTCCGCACTGGGTGCTAGCTGTCTCATCTATCCTCTTTTACTCCGTCCAACCTGCCCCTCTCTCTCTCACGTGCTGAGCTGGCGCTTCCTGCAACCGGCACGCTCTCCAGCATTGCACCAGCTTAAGTCAAAACAGTGTTCGGGGAGCCAGACATCAAGCAAAGAACCGCCCCGTCAGCAGAGGCTTGTCTGTCCATGTGTGTGTTCAAGCAGGGAGCTGGGCAAGCGCTTGCCGTGTGGGTCCAGGTCGAGATTCGGCCGTCGCCTCGAGCCTCGGTTCAGGCTTCAGCCGGCGCCTCCGCCCCGGGGCCGCCTGCGCAGCAGCCGGGCCAGCAGCCCCCGCCTGCGCCCCTGCTGCTGCTCCTGCTGCCGGCCTGCGAGCGCGGCTGGCTCCGGGGCGGGGCGCCTGCCGGTCTGCTGCTGGGGGCCCTCCTCCTTCTCCTCCTCCTGCTGCTGCTGCTGTGGATCATGCTCCAGCTGCAGCGGCAGCAGCGGCAGCGGGGCACCCTCCTGGGGCGCCGCCTGGGCCGAGCCAGCGCCCATCCTTTCCACCCCTTCCTGCGCAGACACCTCCAGTGCCGCCCCTCCCACTGCAGGGACGCCGGCCGCGGCTGCAGGCACCCCGACCGCTGCTCCCGGCGCTGGGGCGGCTGCAGGTGGCGCCTCTGGCGGGGCAGCCCCCGGCACAGCCCCTGCCGCCACGGGGCCCTGCCCCTGCCCCTGCTGCGGGGCATCTTCAAGTGGCGCCGCCTGCGGCGGCGGCGGCAGCACCGCATCCTGCGCCGGCCAGGCGTGCGCCTGCAGGCAGCGAATCGCACAGCCAAGACAGCGCGGGGCCGAGGTCAGCGTCCACGCAACACCCGTGCCAGCACCCTTCTCCCCCACGTGCAACGCAGGCATGGTCTGCCGGCCGGCGCTTAAGGCCCTACAATCCTAAAAAATGGGGCGCCCAACTCGGCCCCCGCCGCCGCCACATCCAGCATCGGCTCAAACCGGGCGCGGAAGTCGTCCTGCGGGGGCGGCATGCGAAAGGAAAGGGAGAACGACGATTCAGCTGGCAGCATGCAAACGCGAGCGAGGTCCGCGGGGCGGCGAGCGAGGGAGCGGCGGGGCCACGCCGCACGGCGACAGCCGCAGTCGGCGGCATCCGCAGCAGGCCGAGCACAGCCCCAAACCTTCCCCCTCTCTCTAATCAAGGGCCGTCACGCTGGCCTGCTCTAAGATAGAAGGCGCCCTCGCCCTTCTCACCTGCAGCGCCCTCACCAGGGCCTGGATCCCCGGGATGCCCTCCGCGGCTGCCGCCGCCGCCGCCGCGTCGCCGCCCTCGCCGTCCTGCCCGTCCGGCGGGCCTCGGTGCCAGGGCATGTGGTAGCGCACCCGCAGCGCCACGCTGGCCTGGCACATCGGGCAGGTGGCGCCGCGGCCCTGGCTGCAGGCACAGGTGGGTAGGGCAGGGGGCGGGGCAGGGGGCAGGGACGGGGCAGGGCCAGGCCAGGTAAGCATGCAAGCAGGGAGGCACGGCAGTCAGGGAAACACACCCAGCAAGCAAGCAGGCGAGCGAGCGAGCAAGGCGACAGGCAGACTGGGTGTGAATGCTCCTTTGCTGTGCTGCTTGGCCCCATGCGACTCACGCATAGCACTGCTGCAGCCACTGCTGCAGGCAGTCGCGGTGGAAGGCGTGGCCGCAGGGCAGCGCCGCCGCGGCGCTCGTGGGGCCGGCGGCAGCGGCGGCGCCGGGCTCGCCGGCGGCGGCAGGCGCCGCCGCTGCTGCTGCAGGTGCGGCCGCCGGCGGCCCTTCCGGCACAGCCACCGGCGCTGCCCCGGCCTGCGCCTCCGCTGCCGGCCCGACAGGGCTCCCTGCTGCCGCCGCCGCTTGCTCGGCCGCGCTCGGCCGCCTGCTGTGCCTGCCGCCGGCGCCGCCAGCGCCAGCGGCCGGCATGTCGCCCCAGCAGATGGCGCACTGCCCCGCCATGCGCTCCACCTCTGCCGCCGTGGCAGCCCGCCACTGCTGCGGCTGCACGCTGGTGGCGGCGTTGCGCATCCTTTCCACGGTGCGCACCAGCGGGCTGCGTGGGGTGCGGTTTAGGGGGCAGAGGGGAGGAAGGAAGGTAAGGCAGGAGTGAGGCGCGCAGTCAGGATGCAGCAGGGGCACAGCAGGCTGGCTGCAGCGCACCACGACGCCAGCACCAGCAGCAGCAGCAGCGTCGCAGCGGCAGCAGCACTGCAGCAGCCACCCGCAGCGTGCAGTGGCCACCCCAACCGCAGCGGCCAGCAGGAGCCGCGGCTCTTTCCAGCCAACACCCCCAAGCCGGCACCCCCCAGCCGGCGGCGCACCCTGTCCAGAACACCAGCGACACAAAGCTGCTGAACAGGGCGCCCGCCCCGTAGGCCCAGCAGATGGCGGGGAAGGAGTAGAGGACCAGCAGCTGCGGTTGCAGGTGTGTGTGTGGGGGGGGGCAGGGGGAGCAGGGAGGTGTAGGGGGTGAGGGAAGAGAGTACAGGGGGAGAGGCAGGGGAGGCAGAGGGAGGGTGCAATAATTAGAGGGAGGATGCGATGCGGACAGCGACGGGCAGGTGCTGCACAGGTGCTAGGGGCAGCAGGCCCTGCCACCCTGCCTCACCATCACCACACCAATACCAATACGCACACACCCCTCTCACCCCACCGGGCGCACCTGAAACACGGCGGCGATGGCAGCGACGGCGCGGATGAGGCGCTGCGCGTACCGCGGAGGGTCGCGGTACAGCAGGAAGCCGAGGAACACCTGCGGGCGGTACGGCGATACAGCGATGGCGCGCGCGGCTGTGCCAGCCGTGCCCAACGCCTCCACCACCCCCTTCCCCGCAACATCATTGTCGCCGCCCCGCTCCCCGCCCTCCTCACCGCCAGCAGCGAGAAGAAGCGCTCGCATGAGAGGCGCATGATTGCCAGGCTGATCTCAACCAGCGGAATCAGGCGGTGGTGGTCTGCAAGGGGGTAACAGGCAGGCAGGCAGGCAGGCAGGCAGGCAGGCAGGCAGGCAGGTGTGGTGTGGGAGGCGGAGACCAAAGAGAGGGCAAAGCGGGCGCCTTGCTCGCGCCGCGCGCAGCAGGCGAAACAAGGCGCAGGATGCCATCCCGACCTGCGCTGCGCATGCGCTCCAGCTCGACGCAGTGCTTGTGCAGCAGCCTGCGGGCGGAGGGGCGGGGAGGCGCGGCGGGTTGGCAGCCTGGGGACGCGCCGGGCGGGGTGCGGACGGCCGCCGATGCACCGACAGCACACACACACCACCCACCCCACCCCCACCTGTAAACCGGAGCCATGAGCTGCTGCTGCAGCCAGGTGGCGTTGCCGTCGAGCGCCGCCGTGCCGCCCGCACCCCCGGGCAGCTCCGTTTTGGTGGCGTACATGCGCTGCTGCTGGCGCAGCCAGGTTAGGTCGCCCAGGAGTGCGGCGGCCTCCGGGCCCGCGCCGCCGCCCTCCGCGGCTGCCGCAGACTTGAGGCGCAGCGGCGCCTGCTTGGCATCTATGCCCGCCACCATGGCCGACATCAGCAGCAGCTGCACGGTGGCGTCGCCGCCGCCGGCAGGCAGCGCGGGCGCGCCGGCGCCCTCGCGGTGGCGCCGCAGCGCCGCGGCGGCGGCGGCGGCGGCCCGCGGGTCGTTGGCCGCCGCGTGCAGCTGCTGGCTGAGCGCCGCCGACTCGCCGTGCTCGGCAAACTGCAGGGCCGAGAGGTAGGCCGGGTTGAGGGCCGCCACCTCGCTCACGTCTGCAGGCGGTACCGCGGTACCGGGGTCGGGGTGGGTGGGTGGGCGAAGCTGGGAACCGGGGCAGAGGACAAGCGTGCGTGCATGGAAGCGAGGGTGGTGTGCCAGAGCAGGCCAGGCCAGCCAACGGCTCAGCAGCCAGGCCCCAGGCAAGCACAGGCAGAGGGGAGGATAAAAGCACGGGAGGCCCCGCGGGCGCCGGCGCACCTGCCGCGAGCACGGCACGCAGCCAGTGCTGCGGCAGCAGCGGCTGCCACAGCGTGCTCCACACCGCCAGCTTGGCGTCTAGCCTGGAGCTGTTGCTGCTGCCCTCCAGCGCAGCAGCCAGGTAGCCGGCCGCGCCCTCGGCGCCGCCGCCGCCGCCATCTCCCCCACCGTAGCCGCTGACGCTTCCAGAGGGGGCTGCCGCCGGGGCAGGCGCCGGAGCGGCCGCGCCCTCGGCATCCTTGGCGTCACTGCTCTGGTTGCCGGCCGCCGCCGCCACCCACGGCAGCTGGCCAGCCGCCACGCCCTCTGCGTGCTCCTGCTGCGGCGGCTGCGTGGCAGCTGCCGCGGCGGCGGCGGCAGCCACACGTTGGTACCACAGAGCGGTGTCGGCGTGGCGCCCGGTGGTGACCAGGAAAGAAAGTTCCTTTGAGAACCGAAGGATCTGGTCGGCCCTGCAGGCAGGGCACAGGGGCAGGCAGGATAGGCAGGCTGGCATGCTGGAATGGGCAACATGGTGAGGTGCCCGTTGATCGGCAGAGGCTGCCCGCCTGCCCAGAACACCGCACACGCTTCGGTATACAAGGAGAGCTCCCGCAGCGAGCGGCCCCCTCCCAAGCCCTGCAGCCCCTCTCACCGCTTGGAGGAGGCGGGCTGGCTCTCCAGCGCCAGCGGCACCACCAGGCTGTTGGTGGCGGCCACCGCCAGTATGAGCGCCGCCACAGCCATGGCGCGGCTGTTGGCGCGCAGGCGGGGCATCAGGCGGCGCTGGTCGGGGGCGCGGCGCCAGCGGCAGGCCATGACATCAGGCACCCAGCCGCCCCCTACTGCTGCATCTGCATCTGCCGCAGCCGGCGCGGGCGCTGCGGCTGGGCCCGGGGCGGCGTGGGGCGGGCCCGCTGCGGCGGCAGGCTCCCGCACGTGCGGCTGCGCCATCACCCTCAGCCGGCCGCACATAATCTGCGGGGCGGATGCGATCGGGGGAGGCGGCAGCGGCGCGGTGTGGCATGGGGAGTTGAGAGAAGCAATGATGCCGGCATGGCGGCAGTGGCGGCAGCAGCATGCAGCTATTGCAAAAGGAGCTCGGCAGCACAGCAGATGCAGCGGGTGATGGTCCTTGACAGTTGCTGCGGGCTTCCTTGTGGCAATGCAGCTGGTGTGCGCCTGCACTGCCTGCTGCAGTGCTGAGGCTCGCGAAACAGCATCACGATGAGCGAGCAGCATGCACCTCCCAACACCTCCCGCTCTGCTGCGCAGCCAAGCATGCTCAGTGCACAGCAGGCATGCAACGCCTCCCTCCCGCGCCTCGTTCTGACAGACAAACCACGGCGCACAGGCAGCACCACCAGCAGCAGTGCAGCTCCCAGCGCTTGCCTGCACGCAGGGCAGCACCACCAGCAGCTCCAGCGCAAAGTGGGGCAGCTCAAACAGCATGGAGCTGCACTCGGCGCCCCACTGCTGCTCCCACTGCAGGCGGGCAGGCAGGCAGGCAGGCAAGCAGCGGGTGAGCAGAGGCAGGTCGAATGGGGTGTCACCTCAGCTGCACAGCGCAGCTCCCGGCGCGCCCAAGTGCCTCGACACAGCCGGTCCCAAACACGGGCTCCCATCAGAGAGGCGGTGCTGTGGGTCGGCATCCCACCTGGTTCATCCAGTACGGCACCAGACGCCAAGCGATGCTGATGAAGCTCTCCCGCGTCACCACCTCCTCCCCTGCAGCCGGGCAGCAGCCACCAGAATGCTGGAGCTCCTCTCGCCTGTGGCACAGTATTACTGTGCGCACCACGCAGCTGCGCATGCACCGGCTGCATGCCACCAGCTACCGCCATGGCTGGGCAGGCACGGGTGCATCCATGGCGGCAGCCGATGCATCTGCACCACACTAGCCCGCACCCGGCAGCAGGCCGCCCAGGCCCCACGCAATCACAAACTTCTGCACCAGCAACGCGCTGGACAGCACAAAGTTCCACAGCACAAGGGCCTGCATCCAGCCGCTGCGGGGCAGGGAGGCAGCACAGCAGGGGACAGAGGAGGACAGGGGAGAGGTTGGGTCAAGTTCCGGGGGCGTGCGCTGGCCAGGCGGCGCCACGGCTGAGGAAAGCTGAAGCCAAACCGGCGGCGGTTTCCTGGCAGCGCTAGCGGTAAGGGCGGGCAGGCTGTACTGCCCCAACTCACCGGGAGTTCCAGCGGAAGGTGGAGGAGCAGTTTTGGTACTGCTCGCCGCAGAAGAAGTACACATCTTCCCATGACTGCGGTACGAGCAGGCGGTACAGGCAGGAAGGCAACTGAAGTTTGGCACGGCGGGGCCGAGTGTGGCGCAAGTGCAGCGGCACCCGGCGTGGCGGTAACCATCCAGCACCCGCTGCGGCAAGTGCGCACGCTTGGTTCTCAAACCTGCTGCCAACCTGGCACAACCTGGTGTGGCGCCCCGCGCGGCAAAGAAAGCCGGCCACAACAAAGGCAGATGCTCAGCCTGTTCACCTGAAACTCCTTTGGGTTGAGGTGCAGCATCCAGAGCAGGGCGGCGGAGGTGCCATACAGATACGTGCGCAGCAGCGGGGTGAGCGGGCGGCGTAGCGGCAGCAGCGCCGGCACGCCGCCGCCGCCGCCAAAGCCGGCGCGGCGCTGCAGAGCGCGGACCAGGGCGCGCCAGGGAGCTGCACGGAAGGCGGGCCGACAGCGGCCTGGCGTGAACCAAGGTGTGCAGGCCAGACGCTGCCCAACTGCTGCTTGGTCAACACTTGCCCCCCCGGACCAGCCGGCAGCACCCACCTCCTGGCTGCCCTGCCACCCAACGCCCTGGCAGCACCCACCTTGCAGGAGCAGCCAGGCGAGCCAGCCCAGCAGGGCATACACGCCCCAGCCCAGCGGGTGGCCTGCTGCCGCCGCCGCCCACAGCTCGCCGCTGTCCAAGACGTGCGGGCTGAAGACGCCGCTGCCGCTGCGCAGTACTGTCTGCAGGTAGGCAGCGGGGCTGAACACCTCGTCGCCCGCGTCCCCGCCGTGCTGCGCCATGACTGGGGGGCGGGGGTCGCTGGCCACACGCTGGCTCCGCCGATCGGCAGGCGTGTTTGGCCTCGTTGGCGGCTCAGGTGCGCATTGCGGATGAACCGAGCCACGCAGATGCCAAGAGTGAGGCTGAACAGAGCCGACAAGGCCCCATGGGCAGCCTTCATTTTCTCCGACTTTCTTGGCGCCCAAAGGCATGACAGAGCCACACCCATTCCTCCCCATCAACGTCTGACGCACGTGGGCGTGATTGAGGATCAGCGCGGGGCCTGTGGGAGCCCCTGCTGCGTGGCACTCGGGTTCTAGACACCGGCACACCGGCAGCCATCTGCCCGCTCACACAGGCATCCACCAGGTGCAGCAGGAGACGCCGGGCCAATGCAGCAGTGCCGGCGGGCAGTGCTGCTGCTGGGCGGCGGCAGCGGCGGCGGCAGCGGCAGCGTGGTCGTGCTGGCGGCGGACCTGTTTTGCGCTCCAGGCAGCGTCACGGCTGGCCGGCGCTGGGCCCAGCAGCAGGCGCAGCGGCTGCACCACTGTCAGCAACCAGGCAGGCCGCTGCTGCAGCAGCAGGGCCAGTGGCGCCAGTTCAGCGAGGGCGGCGGCGGCGCCAGCGGCAGCGGCGGCAGCGAGTCGGGTGTGGCCCGCTTCTGGCGCTAGTGAGTCCCCAGCCATGCCGTTCCTCAGCTGTTTTGCGGTGACAGCTGCATGCCTGGCTGAACCGCAGGTTGGTTTGGCACCAACGCAACAGAGCTCCTGGCTCCCCTGCCGAGCCGCCCGGCCCATCTCCCTGCCCGCCTCCCTGCCTTGCCTGCTGCTGCAGCCTCACCGGCAACCAGGCGGCGCCGCGGCGCCCCAGCAGCAACAGCACCAGCTGCGCGGCCAGCGAGGCGAGTGGCGAGGGCGGCGCCGCCGCCGGCGGCAGCAGCGGCAGCAGCTCCGAGGCGGCTTCTGGCGGCGGCGGGCTGCTGGTTCCCAACAACCCCGAGAGCCGCTACCGAGAGGTGCGGCGCGCCACTGGCCCATGTGCACACCCCCGCTGCACCCTTCCAGCCAGCCTACGTTCATGTCGCTGCGCATGCCGCTTGCGTTGTGTAGACCGCGCTCGCAGCCGCCTCTCCCTGCCTCCCACCACCCCTGCCCAACCCAACCACCTCCCACCCATGCCATCCCGCCCCTGCCACCCGCGCAGGTGCTGGCGGTGCCGCTGGCGATGAAGCCGCTGTTTCCGGGCGGCATCATGCCTGTCACCGTCACCAGCAACAAGCTGATCAAGGAACTTATGGACCTGCGGAGGCAGGGGTGGGTTGGCTGTGGCTGCAGCGGGCTGTGCTGCCTTGGAGCACATGGCTGGGCTGGGCTGCCCCATGCCGTGATGGGAGCCGAGGAGTCTGGGGGTGGTTGCGGCACTCTGGGAAGGGGCTGGGGCTTGCTCTGTATGCCATCCCTCTGTGTCGGGGGGTGCGGCAGCCTGGGGATGGGCTTGGGCTTGCTCCTGTGTGCCGTTCCTCCATGGCAGGGATCATGAGGAGGCAGGGGCGGTGTTCGTTTCGCCATTTGTGGCCGCGCCGCTTGCCTCGCATCGAATGGGAGCTGCTGCGCTGGGACGGTCCAGCGGTTGCTCGCTGTGCAGCTGGCGCAGCGGAGGTGGGGCTGCCCCACATGCAGCGGCACCAACCCCTCCAGCGCCTGTCGCTGCAGGGCGCAGGCGTACGTGGGTGCTTTCATGCGGAAGAGCGGCGGCCCGGCGGCGGCCGCGGCGGGCGAGGTCAATGTCTCGCTGCAGGACGACTTGCTGGGTACGCCGCCCCGGGCTGCTGCACCCTGGGACTGGCCTGGTTTCCTGGCTTGCTGGGCTGTGGCTGGCTGGTGCCTGGCTGGCATGCTGCCAGGCTCCTGCACGCTGCCAGGAACTCCTTTCTTCTTCTGCCGATGGCGCCCCTGCCAGCCTCCGGCTTAGACCCTGCAACACACAACTCCTGCCTGTCTCCCTGCAGGCGCCGCCGAGGCGGCCCCCGACGCGGCGCTGGCGGCGGCCGAGGAGGAGGTGGAGGATCCCTCGCAGCTGCTGCACTCCATAGGCACGTTTGCGCAGGTAAAGAGAGGCAGCCCGCAGGCGGTGTCAAGGGCTCCAGGGTCCCTGAGCAGCCTTGTAGGCCGGCTCCGCCCTGGATCGCCATGCTGCAGCTGCTTGCAGGTGGCAGCTGCATTGAAAGGAGGAGCGACGGAATGGAGGAGGTATTGCTAGCCGGCTGACTGACCTCGTCCTTTTCCGTCGTCCCCTCTCACCACGGCCGCCGCAGGTGCACACCATCGTGCCGCACGAGCAGGGCGCGCAGCTGCTGCTGCTGGGCCACCGCCGCATCGAGCAGACGGGCCTGGTGGGTGCCCGCGGGCTGCTGGGGGTTGCAGGGGGCTGCTGCTTGCTGCTGTGCGGAGGTGGATCCAGATCATGCCTGCCTGCCTGCCTGCCTGCTCGACTCCCGCCTGCCCTACCTCTCTGCCTGCCCCCTTGCCTGCCTGCGATGCAGGTGGACCGCGACCCTCTGCGGGTCTCCATCATGCACCTGAAAGAGCAGGTGGGTCGGCGTGTGCTGCCCCGCTGCGCCTGGCCTGCACCATTTTGCCAGGACCTGCCCGACCCTGCCCATGCTGGAGCTCCTACGACCACCCTTCCACCCACACACATCCACACATGCGCATCTGCCGCGCACATGACCACCCCCCCCTGCAGCCGTACAACGCATCTGACGACATGCTGCGGGCGACCACCATGGAAATCATCTCCACCCTCAAGGAGCTGCTGCACATGCACCCGCTGTACAACGAGCAGATGCGCAACTTCATACAGGTGGGGTGGGGGCAGGGCTGGGGGGTGTCTGTTTGGTGGGTGGGTCGGTGCTGCCTGGTGCCTGCCAATGCATGGTTGCTGCCGTTGCTGCACGCCGCATCCTCTCAGCCACTGCGCCACTGCTCCCACCCGACGCCCACACGCACCACTCACACCCCACCTCTGCTTCACCTTGCCTCATCTTTCCTTCCTTTCCTCCCGTCCCCGTGCTTTCCTCTCAGTTTGGCGCCGACTTCCACGACCTGTCCCGCCTGGCAGACCTGGCCACCAGCCTGACCAGCGGCGACAGCGCCGCGCTGCAGGCGGTGCTGGAGCAGCTGAGCGTGCCGGAGAGGTGGGGAGGCTGGGGAGGGGTGGTGGCGGTGGCGGTGGTGGTGGTGGTGGTGATGATGGCCCAAGCCAGGCTGCTCTGGCTCGGTGGATTCAAGTGCAGGGCCAGCCTCGCCTGTCCCGACTCTCCCACCCAGCAACCACCACCACCACCACTACCCCACACACACATGCCCGTGCCAACACCCACCACACACACATGCCTCCCTCGCCGCAGGGCCCACCAGGCGCTGGTGCTGCTGAAGAAGGAGGTGGAGCTGTGCCGCCTGCAGGTGGGGCTGGGTGTGTGGTGGTGGTGGTGGTGGGGTGCCCGCTCTTCTGGCTGGCCTGTGTCCCGCTGTGCACCTCCTCTTCGCTGCGGTGGGAGGCTAATCCCCGCCGCAGCACTTGTCGGTGTGGCAGGAAGGGTGGTTATGCTGCTGCTCCGCCACCACGCTCCTCCTGCCACTGCTGCTGCTACCGCGGCCGAGATGCCATGCCCTGGCTGTGCTGTTGTTGGGTAAACGCCCTGTACCGCCCCGTACCGCCCTGCAGGCCGACATAGGCAAGCGGGTGGAGGAGAAGATTTCCAAGGACCAGCGGCGCTACTTCCTCATGGAGCAGGTGGGCGGGGCTAAGCGTGTGGCTGCTGGTGTGTGTGGGAGAGAGTGTGGTGGGCAGCTAGTGTGCTGGGCTAAGCGTGGGGCTGGTGTGTGGGGGGGGAGAGCGTGGTGGGCAGGTGGCCGGGTGGCCGTCCTCCTATGGCTGCCCTGCTGCTTGTGGCGCCCTCCACCAATGGTTTTGTGAGCTGGCTGGAGTTGCGGCTCCTGCCTGCCCGCCTCCCCACCTGCTGCCGGCCCGCCTGCCTCATCGGCATACACCCCCCTGCCTGCCCCTGCCCCCGCCCGTCCTCCCCCTGTTTGCAGCTGAAGAGCATCAAGAAGGAGCTGGGGCTGGAGAAGGACGAGAAGACGGCGCTGGTGCAGAAGTGAGGGCGCCTGCCTGCCTGCCTGCCTGCCTGCCTGCCTGCCTGTGTGTGTGTGTGTGATATGGGGAATGGTTGAGGGTTGGGGGCCTGGGGCAGGCATGAGGCGCTGCGTCTGTGTTGCTGCCTGGGCTGGGGCGCACTGGTTCCAACTGGCTGCAAGCGATGCCTGGGGCGCCTCTGCCCCCGCGGCCGCCCTCCGCCGTGCACCACCCGCCTGCCACCCGCCACCCGCCTGCCTGCCTGCGTGGCCTCTCGCCCCGCAGGTTCCGGGAGCGGCTGGAGCCGCTGCGGGAGCACCTCCCGGAAGCTGCCGAGAAGGTGATCGAGGAGGAGCTGGAGAAGCTGCAGGTGAGGGAGGGCCGGGGGTGGCGGTAATGTGTTCTGTTGCGGGAAGTACACGGCAACTGGGAAGGAGCATACATGCAAGCAGGCGGGCAGGCACCCGCTGGTGCCCGTCTGATGGCCCGCCGCCAAGCCGGACACCTTCTGCCCACCCACCATCTCTCTTCCCAACTCGGCCCGCTCTGTACTGCCTGTACTGCTGCCTTGCTACCACCTTTTGCCCTGCTACCCTTGCCTTGCCACCAACCTCTTTTTTTTTTTTTTGCATTTGCCACCAACCAACAGGCCATCGAGCCCGCCTCCTCCGAGTTCAACGTCACCCGCAACTACCTGGACTGGCTGACATCCATTCCCTGGGGCCAGCACTCCCAGGAGAAGCTGGAGGTGACGGCTGCCAAGCAGGTGCGCCGCCGACGGCGCGGTACCGCTTGCGGGCGCGGCTGGTGTGGCCGTGGGTCGCTGGCTCCGGCTGGTGCCGCTGCGTTCTGCTGGCCTGGCGCGGGCCAGCACAGTGTGCAAGGAGGCAGGCCTTGTAGCGGCGAGGGGCAGGAGTGGGCGGTTGCCGGCTGCTGGCCTGCCCGTCGCCCGCCCATGGCCTGCCACGGCTGCCCTCCAGCACACACACGCGCGCACGCACACATGCAGACATGCACTCACACTCCCACACACATGTGCCCCCGCCCCAAAAATCACACACACGCGCGCACACACACGCACCCTGCGCAGGTGCTGGATGAGGACCACTACGGGCTGGAGGATGTGAAGGACCGCATCCTGGAGTTCATTGCTGTGGGCAAGCTGCGCGGCAGCACGCAGGTGTGTGTGTGTGAGGCGGGGCGAGGGCGGGCGTGTGGGGCTGCATGGCTGGCGGCAGGCTGTGCAGCAGCACGAATGCGTGTGTGTGTGAGGCGGGGGAATGAGGGTGTGTGGTTGATTGTGGCTGATGCGTGGAGGGTGGAGGCAGGAGGTGGGGTTTTGAGGCCAGCTGAGGGGCGCTGAGCAGCCCGGTGCTGCCGCCGCTCGCCGAGAAGCGCTGCAGCCTCCCGCTGAGGCGGGCAGCGACCCCTCGCCTGCGCACCCTGCCGCCCAGCCCTTGCGCAACCCTCACCCCCACCCTGCCCCCTGCCTCGGTCCCTCTGCCACCGCGCGGCTCCCACCACCCCGCAGGGCAAGATTCTGTGCCTGGTGGGGCCGCCTGGGGTGGGCAAGACCAGCATTGGGCGCTCCATCGCCCGCGCCCTCAACCGCAAGTACTACCGCTTCTCGGTGGGGGGCCTGAGCGATGTGGCGGAGATCAAAGGTGGGGGGGCTATGCGAGGGGCCATGCAGAGTTGGTGTAGAGGGAGCGTGCGTTTTGGGGCAGCTGGCTGGCGAGGTGGGGACGCTGGCGGCATGTGCGGGCCGGGAAGCGCAGGGCTTGGGCGGCGGTGCTTGTGGGCGGCCAGCAGGCCGGCGGCCGGCGGGACCGTGTTGCATGATACCGGCTGCTGTGTTGCACGCAACGGTAACAACGAATCATTCATCTCTTTTTAGAAATGAGCATGGTGTCCCAAGGACCTGCCGGTGCAACCCCACCCCTGCCCCCGCAGGCCACCGCCGCACCTACGTCGGCGCAATGCCCGGCAAGATGGTGCAGTGCCTGAAGACCACCGGCACCTCCAATCCCTTTGTTCTCATAGACGAGATAGACAAGCTGGGGCGCGGGTACCAGGTGGGGCGCCACGCGGCGGCGGCCGCTGGCCGGGTGTTGCTGGGCACGCGGCGTGCGCTCTTGCACGGCGGGTCCCTGCACGGCAGGCTGCGGCTGGCCCTCGCCCTCATCTGTTCTCGCCTCTCTGACCAGCCCTCCTCCTCCACCCTACCCACCCCACCCCACCCCTCCACCCCTGCACGCTCTGCACGCTCTGCACACACACATGCTCGCTCCCACTCACACCTCCCAACCACGCCTCTCCCCACTCCCCACCCCACCCCACCCGCCTCCCACCCGCGCAGGGCGACCCCGCCTCCGCCCTGCTGGAGCTTCTTGACCCCGAGCAGAACTCCGGCTTCCTGGACCACTACCTGGATGTGCCTGTGGACCTGTCCAAGGTTGGTGGTACCGTCGGGGTGGTACTGCCTGGGTAGTACAGCCGGTTTTGGTGGGGGCAGGCGCTCTGCAGCTGGTGACTGTGCTCGTGTGCCTGTCCAATGTTATACTGGCTTGGCCGGCCGGCCGCTGGTTTCCTGTGGCTGCGCGAGCGCGTGTGTGTTGTGGGCTGTTGTGGGCTGCTGCCTGCTGCTGCCGCGTCTCACCTGCGCGCCCCAGCCTGCCGCTGTTCACCTTCATCCCCCTCCCCCTTGTGTCACTCCCCTGTGGGCCCTGCACCTGCACCTCATGCTTCCTCCATCGTACCGCAGGTTCTGTTCATGTGTACCGCCAACGTGCTGGACACGATCCCGGGGCCGCTGCTGGACCGCATGGAAATCATACGGTACGCGCAGGCAGAAGGCGGGCAGCTGCTGTGTGTCCAATGCCGTGTTGGGGCTGCGCCTCAGGTTGCGTCTCATGGCTGCCGGCCCAACGACGGCGCACGCTGAGCATGCCGTGCCGGCCGTACTGCCTCCTGTACCGCACCGCAGGCTGAGCGGCTACATCTTTGACGAGAAGGTGGCCATCGCGCGGACCTACCTGGAGCCGCAGGTGCGTGGCACTGCCGGGACGCTGGTGCAGTACAGCAGGGCTGTCCCTCGCCAGCCGTGGCGGCGTGCCAGTGCCTGCGCAGGCCGAGCATGCCGTCCCCGGCCGTGCCACCCCCAGCGAGCCTGCGGCTGCTTTTACCTTGCTGGTTTTGGCTCACTTGCTGGTTTTGGCTCACAGTGCGTCTCTTGCTGACTAAGTTGAACGGATACTTACGCAGGCGCGCACCAATGCTGGGGTGCCAGAGGGCGCGGTGCGAGTGACAGACGCGGCGCTGGCAGCGCTGGTGGACGACTATGCCAGGTGGCAGGGGCTGCTGCCGCAGCTGTGCATGTGATGGCGTGTATGTGTGGCAGGGCCAATGTGTCGCGTGGGCGCCAGGCGCCGGCCTGGGGCTGCAACCCTCGCCTCTGCCCTGCTTGGCCTGCTCTGGTATTACACACAACAACAAAGACCGCTGACGCAAGATCCGTACACACCCTTCTGTTTGTCCCTGCCTGCCACCGCAGGGAGGCGGGGGTGCGCAACCTGAAGAAGCAGCTGGAGAAGATCTACCGCAAGGCAGCCCTGAAGCTGGTCACCATGGGGGTGGTGCCAGAGGCGGCGGCGGCACCGCCCTCCGACCAGCAGCAGCAGCAGGCGGCGGCGGCGGCGGCGGCGGCGGAAGGCGAGGCCGGCGCCGCTGGCAGCAGCAGCAGCCCCAGCAGCGAGAACGACGGCGGCAGCCGGGCGCAGCAGCTGGCTGAGTCGGCAGAGGGCGCCGCCGCCACCGCGCTGGCAGAGCCGCTCATTGTGATCGACGGCGGCGACCTCAAGGAGTATGTGGGGCAGCCGCCATACCCCACAGACAAGATCTACGCAGAGGGGACGCCCGTGGGTGAGCGGCAGGGGGGGGGGACAGCGGCTGCCTGTGGCTGGGTGACGACGGTGCTGGGTGCCGGCTTTTGAGAGCTCGAGCTCCCATTCTATACAGTATGTGTGTTGCGCTCGCTCGCGGGATGTGTTTCAGCACGCAGCCGCCTGCGCCGCCACTGCGGAGTGCCGGCAAGCGCTTGGCCCGGCCATGCATGCGCCTGCCTCACGCACCTCCCCACTCCTCACTCCCCGCCGCTGCCGTCGCCGCCGCCGTCCTGCCTCCTCTCACCCCCGCACCGCTGCAGGCGTGGTCATGGGGCTGGCCTGGACGGCCCTGGGCGGCAGCACGTTGTATGTGGAGGCCGCCAGGGTGGAGCGTGGGGAGGGCAAGGGCAGCCTGAAGACCACAGGTGGGGAGGGGGCTGCTGCACATGCTTGCTTGTGTTGGCTTGCAGACTGGTTTCACCAAGAACAAGGTTGCAGCACAGACTTTGGCGGGGGAGGGCACACCAGGCAGCCGCTCGTCGCGCCCCTGGTGGCTGCCGCTGCCTCGCCGCTGCCAAACCACCCGCCAGCAATGTGTCCACACACATGCACATGTCGCGCACACACACACACAGCCACCGCCACGCATGTGCGCACTCTCCCTCTCTCACACACCTCTGCATCCCGCCGCCCTGCCCTCTGCGTCCCTTGCCCTCTGCGTCCCCACGCCCTGCCCCTCCCCACTATCCCCCGCCCGCAGGCCAGCTGGGCGACGTGATGAAGGAGAGCGCCGCCATCGCCCACACCTTTGCCCGCAAGTTCCTGGAGCAGGCGGCGCCGTCCATGCAGGGCCAGGCCGCCGCTTTCTTCGCTGACCATGCCATACACCTGCACGTGCCCGCGGGTGCGGCGCCTGCAGTACATGCCGGTACCGCTCGCCTGGCGGTACCGCGTGCCGCCGCCGCCCGCACGTGCCGGCGCGGCCTGAAAGCGCCGCCTGCCCCGCCGCCTGCCCGCACTCGCTGTGCGGTGCCGCGGCGTTTCTGCACCGCCTGTCCGCCTGTGCCCGCCTGCCGGCAGCACCCACGCAGGCAGCCACCCTCCTGCCTACCTCTCCTCCGCTCCCGCCCTCTCCACACCTACCAACAAACCCTAAACAACCCCTAAGCTTTCGAACCAACCGCAGGCGCCACCCCCAAGGACGGCCCCAGCGCTGGCTGCACCATCATCACCGCCCTGCTGTCGCTGGCCCTAGACCGCCCCGTGCTGCCAGACCTGGCGATGACGGGTGGGCGGGTGGGGGCTGAGCTTGTGTGTGTTTGTGTGTGTGTGTGTGTGTGTGTGGTTGGTTGGTTGGGTGTGTGGGGCAGTTTGGTTGAGCGGCTGGTGGCTGGGTGGTGGTGGCTTGGCTCTTGCACACCGGAGGGGCTGGTGGGCCGCCAGCCGCCTGCGTGCGTGGGCACCGAGCCAGTAGCCGAAATGCACACCACACACCCACACACATGCCCCCCACCCACCCACCCACCCACCACACACACGCACACGTGCAGGCGAGGTGACGCTGACTGGCAAGGTGCTGCCCATTGGCGGCGTGAAGGAGAAGACTCTGGCGGCGCGGCGCTCGGGTGGGTGCCCGCCTGGCGTGTGGGCGGGGCTGGCGGGGGCGGGCAGAGGGTCGCCGGCGGGCGTGGCGAGCGGGGTGGTGCGGGCAGCTGCGGGCGGCAGGACGTGTGCGGCAACTAGCCTGGCTCGGCTGAGCGCGCTCTCTGGTGGTGGGGCATCGGGAGGTTGCTTGCCACCTGCTCCCCCGTGCCGCCTTCCCACTCTTCCCCCCGCTCCCTCCGTGCCGCCTTCCCACCCTTTTCCTTCTCCTTTTTCTCCCCCGACCCATGCAGGCGTGCGGCACCTCGTGTTCCCAGAGGGCAACCGGCGGGACTGGGAGGAACTTACAGAGGTGGGGTGGGGTGTGGTGGGGAGGCTGCCTGCTGGGCTGCCAGGCTGGTTGGGCGGCGCCCTACCACGATGCAGCTGCCCGGCTGGCGTGCTGGCAGGTGGCAGATGGCGGCGTGCTGGCGGGCTGGCGCCTCACCCGCGCCTGCCGACCCTAAACTCCCGGCTTGCACTGGGGCCCTCCCACCCGCTCACAACACCGCCACCCCCACCGCTGTCGCCAACCAATAATGACACCCCCCTCCTTCCCTCCTGCTCCCTCCCCCTGCCTCCTCGCCCCACCTCCTTCTGCAGGACGTCAAGGCGGGTCTGGATCCACACTTTGTGTCCCACTACGACCAGATCTATGCGTTGGCATTCGGGGACGAGGCGGCCAGTCCGCGGCAGCAGCAGGAGGCGGCGGCGGCGACGGCGGCATGACCCGGCCGGCGGCAGCTGCAGCAGTAGGTGCCACCTAGTGGTGGAGGCAGCGGGCGGCGCCAGCGCCGAGAGCCTGCCGCGCAGCCGGCCAGTCGAGTCGGAGGCTCCTGCCGGCCTGCAGCGGCGGCAGGTGGGGGAGGCGGCGGCAGCGGATCGCGTCCCCGCGCCGCCTGGGAGACCCCGACGCCTGCCAATGTGTGGGCCCACTCAGTTGTTTGTGAATTGGAGGAACGTGCTCCTTTCAGAGGAAAGCGCCTGATTGAGCCGCAGCTCCCTGGCAGCGCACAGTGTTGGTGGGGGAGCTGAGGAGGCACCCTCCCCGCTGGTACACATGCCACCAGCACACAGGTGCTGGCGATGGCGGTTGCCATGCTTGGCCTCAGACTGCTCCCACAGCTTGCTGCTCCATATCATGAGCAGCGGCGACGTGCAGAGCCGGTTACAGGCAGGCAGCGGAGAGGGCCGCAAGGGGCCTGAAAAAATGGTGTAAGCGGGAAGGCGGGAAAACAGGAGCCGGCAGGTGAGAGCTGAAAGCATGGAAAAACGTTGATGGAGCAGGGAGGGGTGACAAGGACCACAGGGAGGGGTGCGAAGGATCAAGGCGTGGGTGGGGATCGGTCGAGGCGTGGAGGGTCAGCGCGGTAGGTTTGGGCGAGAGGGGAGAGTAGGAGGTGGGAGGTGAGGGGAAGAGTGAGCCAGAGCGCTGTGGGGCAGAAGCTGCTGAGGGTGTAGGGGGCGTGTGAGGGCGGTGGTGTGTGTGTGGCAAAGTCAAGAGGGAGAAAGCTCAGGGGAGGATACAGGATAGATTCGGGAAAGGATACAGGGCGGCAGCAGATTCTATAATCTACCAATAAATGCATGGCCCACATAATCAAACTATGTTAACAAACAGCAGGATTCGGAGCCGGCTCCAGAAGAATGCCTACGATCTTCACAGTCAGCTGTAGCAGAAAGCCGGACGTATCAGTCGGACGGCCCCGCAGGGCAAGCCGCCGACTCCGGGCACCGGCTGGCAGCCCGTCAGCCCGAGCCCGGCGACAGCGGCGGGCTGGTGGCGTCGCTGCTGCCCGGGCTGCTGATGGGCGGCAGGCGCGAGCTGAGGCTGAGGCTGGACAGGGCCGCGTCGCCGTCGACCGGGCTGGAGATGGGGCTGAGGCTCTGCTGCGGGCCCAGCACATCGACGGAGCCCCGGCCGCCAGCGCCGCCCAGCACATCGAACGACGCGCGCCCGCCGCCGCCGCCGTTGCCGCCCAGCACGTCCAGGGAAGCGCGGCGCGGCAGGCCGTCCACCGAGCTGCGGGTGCGTGCCGGGCCGCCGCGGCCGCTGCGCTCCAGCATCACCCCCAGGCGCTGCAGCAGCTGGGCGGCGGTGGGGCGGGCCGCGGGGCTCTCGCTCAGGCACTCCATCATCGGATCGGAGGCGTCCTGCGGCGGGAAGGGAGGGGGCGAGGGTGTGAGCTGCTGTGGCGGCGGTCATGGTGGTGGTGTGTGTGTGTGTGTGTGTGTGTGTGTGAGGAGGTGGTGGTATGCGAGTGTGTGTGGAGGTGGTGGTGGTGGTATGCGTGTCTGTGTGGAGGTGGTGGTCAGGGAAGGGGTGCAGCTGGCACAGACAGCCGCCCACCAGCCGGCCAGGCAAAGGAGCTGTGGCGTTGATGCGGCCCGCCAGCCCCGCCAGACAGCCCCGCCAGCCCCGCCCTGCCCGCCCGCCCTGCCCACCTGCGGGCACTCGTCTGGCACCAGGGGCATGCGCATGCCGCCGCGCTTGGGCGCCTCCCCCGTGATGATCTCCCACATCACCACTGCAGGCACAGCACGACCACAGCATGACCACAGCATGGCAGGAATGGGTGGGTGCGCGCCGGAGAGCCCGGCGGGCAGGCTGGCAGGTGGGCGGTGCCGGCGCGAGTGGGGGTGGGGGTCGGGGGCCGGCCGGGCTGGAGTGTACGAGCTGCCTGCCTGCCGTGTCGCCTTTGCAGGAAGCAAAGGCAGCAGGGCCGCTGCGCATGCCAAGCTGTAGCTCCAGCCCGGGCCGTGCCTCCATGCCAGGTCAAACTCAGAAGCGTCTGTGCTGCAAGTCTGTGCTGCAAGCTTGTTCTTGCTGAAACCAGACTGCAAGCCCACACAAGCAAGCAGGCAACCGAAGCAGCCTCACCCCCAAACGAGAAGATGTCTACAGCCTGAGTGCACTCACGCCCACCCAGCAGCACCTCGGGAGCAATCCTGCGGCGGCAGGGGAGGAGGCGTGCAGTGCGTGTGGGTGTGGTGCGGGTCAGCCGCAGAGTCGGGAGCACAGGCCGCGACGGCTGCACCATGCTGCAAAGGCGGCACGGCGGAAGGAGCGGCAGCTGCACGTGGCGCCGCTGCTGCTGGCGGGAGGGAGGAGCTTACCAGGGGAAGGTGCCTATGAGCGGTACATCAGGCAGTACCTCCCCGATCAGCTCCCGGGAGAAGGCCACATCGGCCAGCTTGGCGGTACCGCCGCTCGTCAGCAGCACCTGCGACGGCGGCAGGAGGGGGCAGCGCGGTGTTGGTGCGTGCGCGAGGCCGCAGCTGCCGGCGGCCACAAAAAAAAGACCGGGGGAAGCCACGACAGCACCGGCAGCGTGTAACGTGTACCAGGCGCCCGGCAGCTCACATTGCTGGACTTGACATCGAAGTGGACTATGCCCTTGGAGTGCAGGTAATTGAGGGCCTTGGCAATCTCCAGGGCCACGCGCCGCCCGCGGCGGTACCACGAGAAGAGCCGCTGGGAGCCGCCCGCAGACACCACGCCCAGGGCGGAGTGTAGGTCGCGGCCTGCACGAGACAGGGTTTAGGGTTTGGGGATTGGATAAGGGAAGGGGAGGGCGAAGGGGGCGAGCAAGGGCTGGCTTGGCGTGCAGGCAGGGGCACCAGGCCGCGCTGGGGCAGCGGGCGACAGCTGGCAGCCCCAACTAAGCCGCCGCTCGCCACCCACCTTCGCAGTACTCCAGCAATACAACCCCCTTGCTGCCCGCCAGGCACACACCGTAGAAGCCCACCAGGTTGGGGTGCCGCAGCGCCTGCAGCCTCATCGCCTCCTGCAGGCAGGCAGGCGAGGCAGGTGCCAGTGGGTGGTGTGTGTGTGTGTGGGGGGGGGACACGGCATATGGTCGCAGCAGCAGCAGGCGGGGGGGGGGGTGCACTTTTGCGCGGCGCAGGGGCATGCCGCTGCTGCCATGCCACGAGCCCTGGCTCCGCCCCATGTGCCCCGCCCCTCACCCGCGCCGGCACACACCATCCACGACACCACGCCCGCGCATGCACACACGCAGGTGCCACCGCCGCCGCAGCCCACACACGTTGATGAAGGCCTCCTGCACCGCGGCGCTCTTCCCCAGGTCCATTTCCTTGGCCGCCACCGTCTCGCCGTTGTAGCTGGCCTTGAAGACGTGGCCGCTGCGCATGCGTGCAGCGGGGCGGCGCGGTGAGGCGGTACGGGAGGCGGGTGGGGTGCGGTACGGAGGATATGTGGCCAGGGCGGCACATGGGGTTGGCGGCACACCAGCGGAGCAAGCAGGCGGGCCGGCAGGCAGGCAGGCAAGCAAGCAGGCAGGCAGGCAGGCAAGCAGGCGGGCGGGGCAGGCCTCCCCACCTGGCGCCGCTGCCCAGGTCGCGCAGCTTTCCGTTGGGCCAGCGCTGGTAGGTGACCAGCGATGGGTCCACCACCCACTCCTGCAGCCTCAGCGGCAGCGTGGCCTCACAGAGCAGGAGCAGGTGGGCGGAGGTCTCTTCCACACCCGC